ATAATTACACACTGGCTGGGCCAGTGGTGGAGACTGGCCCTACGGCCTGGTGGTCAGGGCCCTCGCCTGGGATAGCGTCAGGCGGAGCAGGGCGTGGAATCGGGGTTTCCAGCACCACCATGCTCTGATCACTGGGCTGTTGGCTATTCCGGGTTCTGACCTGAAATCCCACCCTGGCCCCGGGAACCGGCGGCATCGAAACCGACACGTTTACATGGAAAGTTTCGGTTGCCACAAACCGGCGTTTTCCCTGGTTTGGTTGAAGAACTCGGCGCAGAAGCTGTGCCGTTTCATGCTCTCTGTCCGGCTGGCGCGCCTTCCCTGGGCGTATTGGGTAGCAGCCTGACCGCTCACAGCGCCGGGCGCTGCACGTAGGGTAACTTCCAGTCTGGAGAGACAAGGGAGGGGCAATCCAGGGACAGCGCGGGGACGTGCCTGAGGTCACAGGCTGGGGCCGTGGTGTTGCTGGGAGAAGAACCCAGGCAGCCTCGCAGCCAGGCCCCTCAACCAAACTTGCTCCTGGAGCTGGGGAGAACCCAGGAGTCCTGACACGTCGGAACGCGGTTCTGCCACCGGTGGCTTCACTAAACCCGCCCCCTCCGTTGCTCTCAATCCCACCGACATTTGTGGCCTCAATTCCTCCAAACCCACCCGCCTCTAACTCTCCCTGTCGCCCTGGGCACGCAGCGTCGGGGGTCTCCCCAGATAGTGAGTCCTGTCGGCTTCACGGGGACGGCGCTGCAATACGGGGGCTAAGGGCGGCATTTGGGTAAGGGAGTTAGGCACACAACAGGAATCTGGCACCTAACTCCCCTGGGCCCTTTGACAATCCCTCCCCCCATCCCCCCCCCGCTATACCATGTCCCTTTCCACGTCCCGCGGGGCGCCCCCCCCATCCCCTTTAACTACCAACTCAGCCAGGCCTCCCGCCCCTCCCCTGGCAGCTCACTCCGCCCGCCTCGCTGCCGCAGCCCCGACCTACCACCTGGGCTTTTCGGAAGCCAAACCGTGTGCTCGGCCAACGCAGCGCGGGAATGAAATGAGCAGCGGAGGGGAGAGGCGCTCGCGTCCCGTCCACCCTCCCAGAATAACCATGTTCACACATGATGCTGAGAACGTGGCTGGGGCCAAGTCACGTGCTTGAAGCGTGTTTCTTTTCTTGCCTGTGTGGACCTGCCTGGAGAGCCGCGTCCTGCCCCTCGTGGTTTGTTCCGCCCTCCAGGCTCGGTGGCAAAGGCAGAGCAAGAGCCGGTGGCTGGGAGGTGAAGCCAGAACCGTCCCGACTAGACATAGGGCCCAAGTTGTGAACAGGGAGGGGAACTGATCCTTGGACCCCCTGCCCGAGGCATATGGGGTTTCTCCGTCTCTTGGAAGGCTGTGCCTCGAGATGGGGCTTTCGCGAAGATCGGGTGTAGCTCAACCACAAGGTATGGGCTGGCTGCGGGAATCCTTGGGACAGGCTCTCTGACCTGGGGAGGTGTGTGTGGGGGGAAACTGAGGCACGGACATGTCTTGCTCAAGATCCTGCAGCAAAGTGGGGTGAGAACCCAGGAGTCCTGGCTCCCAGCCCCGCTCAGTAAACTGATCACCTGCTCCTGTGCATCGGGAAAGCTTCAAATGAGGAAACGGGTGTCAGGGAAATTCAAGTGGGTGTTTCCCCTCTGACATTCGCCCCTGACCTGGTTTTGTTTCACCCTGTCTGGGCCCCTTTCCTGTCCCAGGTCTCCAGTGCTGGCCCTGATCCTGTTCAGTTTGGGGTCCCCTCTAGTGTCCCGAGAAAGACTCATTTCTGTCTCTGGTTTTGTGAAGGCGACTCTGCTCCCACCTGACTCTGGACTCACTTCAGGCACCTCCCATCCCCTTCCCATACCGTGCCTCAGTTTCCCCAGCAGTGTCTCACAAGGAGGAGTTGATAGATTTGCCAAGGGCTTTGAGCTCCCTGGACAGAGCAAAGCTTTGCTGATGAGCCAATGCATGTGGGCCTCTGGCGTTGCCCTCTGCTGGATCGCACAAGAACTGCTCACGTGTGGACCATAGACCCCGTACTGCTTTGTGCTACTGGAGATTCCCCCATTAACTCAGTGGGGCTGGGGGCTTTCGCAGCGGGGGGCTGAGTTCTGGACTTGTAGCTGTTGTGAGGCCTGCAAATTCTGGGGTGAGTTCCAACTCCGCGCCTGTCAGTGTCCCGCTCCCCAGAGATGCTCCCACGCCGGGCCGGGCTGGTGCCGGCTGCCCAGGGAGGAGCATTGGACCAGCCCCAAGCGCTGCCCCGGGCCAGCCCCCCGGGAGCAGGGAGCCGGCTGCCGCAGGGGCGGATCCACGTGGTGAGCTGCCCGGCTGGGTCGCAGCCCCTCTCAGCTCCTGGGCCCGGGGACGCCGGTGGTACCGTTCCCGCGGGAGCAGCGTTGGGAGCTGGGCAGACCTGGCCCGGCACAGGCCCCGGCTGACCGTGAGCCCCGGGAGCAGCCAGAGTCTGTGAGAGCGAAGGGCTGAGAGGGCAGGGACAGAGGGCTGGGGTGGAGGCAGGGAGGGGCCGATGCCCCTCAGTCCCGACCCGCCGCCCCTGCTAGCCCAGCCCTGGGCTCCCCACCCCCAGCTCTGCCGGTGCCCCTCACTCCCGACCCGCAGCCCCTGCTAGCCCAGCCCTGGGCTCCCCAAACTCCAGCCCTGCCGGTGCCCCTCACTCCCGACCCGCAGCCCCTGCTAGCCCAGCCCTGGGTCCTCCCCCTCCCAGCTCTGCCAGTGCCCCTCACTCCCGCCCCGCCGCCCCTGCTATCCCAGCCCTGGGCCTCTCCCGAGCTTCGAGCCAGCCTTTCCTGAACGCTGCAGCGGTTTTGCAATGTGGAGCGACGCCCACACAGGGCGAAGCGGATCCCCCCCCCCCCGCCCCAGTGACCTCACTCAGCAAATCACAGCCCAGCCTGGGGAGCAGGGAGTTGCTGTGCCCGGCCCCGCATGTGCATTGCACGCCCCTCACACGCTGGGGCACAAGCATTCGGGCCCTGTCGCTCTCCTCGTGCATCGCACGGCCCCTCCCTTCCATCCCCCAGTGCACATCCTGCCCTGCCGGGCCTGGGGGGGGGAGTCTGGGGCGGGGGATGGGGGTCCAGCTGTGAAGGGCTTTGACTGCGGCCCAGGGGTTAGGGGCTGAGGCGTCCCTACAGGCCAGAGTTGGGGTTGGTTTCAGGCAGGCGGGACCCCGGGGGTGTGTGTGTGTGAACTGAACACGGGGCCTGCAGTTCAGCGGGGGGGGGTGTTCCTGCTCCCGCCCCCCCCCGCCCGGCTCTGCCCCAGGAATCCCCCCCACCCCAGGCACTGCCAGGCGTGGGCCGGTGGCTGGGAGCCCGGGCTCCTGGCTCCTATTCTGGACTGTGCCACTGACTCCCTGCGTGACCTTGGCCCTGTCTCTTAGCCCCACAGCTGGTGGCGGGCGTCTTCCACTGTCGCTCGTTCCACCGGCATCCAGAGCGCCCCGAGGGGCGAGCGCTGCCTGGCGCTCTGGGGCGGGCGGGGCCGGAAGGTTACAGGCCTGGCTGGGGGCAGGCGGGTGCTTGGGAAGCTGGGGCTGTGACCCTGGAGGGATCCGGCTGGATTTCCGCAGAGGAACCTCCACCGCGGCTGAGTCAGCTTCCTCCCTCCCCGCTCCGCCCTGCGCCGGGAGATAACCCCGATGAGCCAGCCTGGCCGGCCGCGGGCCAGGCTAAGAACATACCCCTGCAGCGCTTGGCGAGCAGCACCACCCCAGCCCAGGCAGCGGAGCAGTTGGGGAAACTGAGGCATGGGTGGGGGAAGGGACTCATCCGGGGTCGCACGGTGGGGTCATGGCAGAGCTGGGATCAGAATCCAGGAGTCCTGACAACTGAAGAGGGGGAGTCGGGCATGGGGAGCCCAGGGCTGGGCTGGCGGGGG